TTACTTTCCTTATAAACAAAAGAGTGTTCGTGATTGTTCACAAAATGAAAATTACACTCTTTATCTTTTTCTCTCTAGTTTTTGCCTAAAACTTTATTATATAATATACATTTATTATATAAATGTATTATAAGCTTATTTATTACTATTTTATTATTATTATTATTATTATTATTATTTAATATTACTTTATATTATTTTAGGAAATGAGCTTTATTTCAAAGTTTGTTATTTCCTCTCTAGTTTGAACCTGAAACTTTATTATGTAATGTATATTTATTATATAAATGTATAATAAACTTATTTATTGTTTTTTTATTATTATTATTATCATTAGTTTAGGAAGTTATTTTATTTTTATTATTATTTTACTATTTTATTATTTTAAGAAATGAGCTTTATTTTAAAGTCTGTAATTCCCTCTCTTTTTACCTGAAACTTTATTATTTTATTTTTATTTAATCCTTGCCTACTAGGCTTAGGATGACTTCCAGTTTACATCTTTGTCTTTTCGCTGTATGGTGGGCTAATTTACATCTATTTTCTTAGCCTAATCTATCAATCGCGGTAGGAACTTGTATTCTGGTAATCTTATTTAATCTATTCTAATAATCTAATTATCACCAAAACAAAATGCAGATGAAAAGAACGCTTACACCTGTAACTTTATTATATAATGTATATTTATTATATAGATGTATAATAATCTTATTTATTATTTTATTCTTATTATTATTTAATATTACTTTATATTATTTTAGGAAATTATTTTATTTTTATTATTATTTTACTATTTTATTATTTTAGGAAATGAGCTTTATTTTAAAGTCTGTAATTCCTTTTCTAGTTTTTACCTGAAACTTTATTATATAATATATAATAAATTATATATATATGTATAATATATATTATACACATGTATAATAAGCTTATTTATTATTTTATTATTATTATTATTATTATTTAATATTACTTTATATTATTTTAGGAAATTATTTTATTTTTATTATTATTTTACTATTTTATTATTTTAGGAAATGAGTTTTATTTTAAAGTCTGTAATTCCTTCACGATGCATTCCTTCGCGATGCGTGAAATTGTTCACTTTCAATTACGAATTATTTACTATTCTTCTTTTTGTTGTATCGTTCTTTCTCGATATATAGGAAAATTGGCAATGGATGCTCGAAGTACATTAGCAGAAAACGAAAGTCACGCGTTGGCAGTTTCATACTAAGCATTAGAGGTTGATGCGAGAGGTTGGAAAATTGCAGGTTACAGCGCTCAGGTGGCTCATAACTAAGCAAGTTTATGCCGATTCTACGGCGGGTTCACATTTCTCCGTCTCTATAACGTGATTCTATTAGCGTATCCAAGGTAGAAAAATTTTCCCCGATGAGAAGTTCATATTTCCTTTCATCACGTTCGATAACCATGTGATCGTCACGCAGGGACCAGAATGTAAATTATAAAGCGTTGGATGAGAAAATTATTAAAATTTCGATTTTAAGGACGTAATAAATTTTGCTCAAATAATTCAAGAATGACGAGTGAACTCGCCGTATTATCTGGACATATCAGATATCTTAATTCTCGAACGAATGGTCAGATGTGGTTTCCAAAACAGTTATACCACAATTATTGTATAACGTTGGATTGTCGTTAGATTCTACTTTTACTGCGTTTTATTGACGGCAACCACAACGAAAACATAGTTCACTGGTTTACTTGTTATCGCTGTTTATTCATTTTTTATTTGGTTTGCATTACGCTTGCGAAACACGCATGTATCCACCTTTGTACGCTTGCTGTACGCGGAAAGTTCCAAAGCGAAATTTGGATTGTAAATGAAAGGAAATTCAACGTGAACTAGTTAAAACTCATGAGAAATGCCTCTTCGGGTAAATGGTGAAGGGTTTGTTGGGAGGAGTTTATTTTCGGAAGCGGGTGTGACGTCATGCAATTTTTTGCGCAGCTAGATGCTAATTTCCGCGAAACGAATAAATGGACAGAAATAAATCGCGGATAATAAGAATTCAACGAGCAAAACGACGTAATTAAGAAATTACTTTTCTGTACATTGTTAATGCTTGCAATGATAAAATTCTAATGAATTGAGTAGGAGATTCAACGATACAGGGGCAGTCGAAGAAGTGGAAATCAGTATCTCCGGTTTCCGGTTCTTACACGTGATTTCAATCAATATTTGAAATATTAAATAAACTGTAAAAAGAAATTATACTTGGGCTTATTCTGTAGTTTGAAGCCTGTATTTTAAAATTTATTATTCATTTTATCTTAAAATGTCGTTACATCTATGTAATAGATGGCAAAGTGAAGACTTTTCTCTTCGAAAATGCTATAAATTGTGATAGCGTGTAAAAACATTGAACAATTTTTTTTACGATTGAATTTACAATAGGTAGAAGACAAGCCTCCCTTTTACAACGATTCTTCAAAATTGTCATAATCTTTTTTCACTAATTTATTGAACTTTGAATGTCAGACGAAAAGAAACATAACGAATGAATGAAAATGTTACGATTTCTTAAATTTTCATCTAAGTCTAACATTCAAAATTCAACGTTTGGAGAAAGGGAGGCTTCAATTTTTTAAATTCATCGTAGGTTCAGACATGAAAAAAAATTTTCCACCATTTTCACATGCTATGATAATTTATAACATTTTCGAGATAAAAAGTACACTTCACTTACCCATCCGTTACGTGATATAAAAATGTTTTAGGATAAAGTGAACGATGTATTTTAATAGTATAGACTTCAAGCTTCAAGCAAAATGAATTCAAGTTTCATTGTACGATTTCTTTTTACAAAATTATAAGAATCAATATTTACTGCTCGATTATTAATTGAACTCGCTGTAATCTATGTATATTCACTGTTAGTAGAAGAAAATTAGAGAAAGGGACAATAACACACATATGAATGAAAAAGACTGTGTGAAAGTAAGAATGCCAATAATAAAAATTAATTCTGTAGTTATCAAACGAGTTAACGCTCGTTAAAACAGCAAAAAACAGTAACAAAACATGGTGACATTTTATGTCAGTATCTGAAAGTTTATTCCCGACGAAACAAAATTAAAGCTTCGACTCGGGTTTCATACTTCACACTATTCTTGTATCGTTCTAATTTCCGCAACTTTTCGGTTGACAGGAAAGCGACGCGATAGAGCGGTTTGCGCAGCAAGAGGGGAAAATTCGTTTCACGTAGAATCATTTTTTCCCTTCTTTCGGGCAGAAATGATACTCAAGGGTGTAGAGAATCTCTGAATTCGACACTCGTGTTTCACGTCTCGCTAACCCCCAGTGACCTGGTCTCGATCAGTTTCGGGTGGAATTTCACTTGGATGAAACTCGTAGCTTGAAACCGTTTCAACAGGAAATTATTTTATGAAATCGTAGCGAGATTCGCAAGAATTCCCATCGTTTCAATTGAAGATCGAACGCGGCACGATCGACGCGCGACTGCCGATTGACAAACATCGATTTTGTGTTTGTCGGTTCCTAGACGACGCGTGTGATTAAATTAAATCGAATATAAATCGAATGTAATTGGAATCTCTCTTTCTCTCTCTCTGTTTTTATTTCTTTTCTCGAGGGAGAGAGAGAGAGCGAAACCGATCGACTTCCAAATAATTAAATCCTATCAACAACGTACACACGTGTAACGCAGGCGTGTTCTAATTTTTATTCTTGTTTCTTTCCCGATTGATCGCCGTCAAACACACACACGAAAATAGGTAGCCAGAAATTTAATTTAGAAATATCTCTGAACTTCGAACAGGGAATAATTTCTCACGTCTTCGTTCGTGCAAATAGAAATCAGTTCAATTTCAAATCGGTCTGATTAATTGTCTGTTACTTCTTGATCTTTCCACATCGTCTGATACAAACCATTTCCTAGAGTAACAAGTTGTTTTTTCTGACAAATGTCTTCTCTCTGGGAAAAGTGTACCTGATTAAAAGTATGGTTTCTTGGAAGTAGAATTTAATAGAGGCAGGAAGGTTTCCAGCGATTCGTTGACATTAAGGTGTGGACGCTATCTCGGTATAATTAGGTCGCGATGTGCTCAGCCAGGTTCGAAAAAGATAGACGAAGTTACGTTGAAACATAATTTCGTAAGTGTCTTATCTCTCTATCACGAAATTAGTCCAAAAACGTGATACCATTTTACCATTTTTTAGGAAACACTAGAATGGTCAAAATGGCCAATTTATAATTTTCTATGGAAATTTTATAACAGCATATTTTTAGATACTCGAGTGATTTTTAATAAAATATATTAACAAAAGTTTGTGTTCTCTATCGTATTATTAATTTCTTCTTGTATCTTGCACTTTAATTTCTTTGTCACAAATATTACACTTTGGTCGTCGGTAGTTCTAGTGTTAACGTAGTTGGAATTATCAAAGAATCATTAGATCATCGAATTTATTTGGCCAAGGGCATTGATTTCAGTCAAAAATTTCACTAAACCGCGGCAACGTGTCCTTTCTCCACATTAACGAATATATGGCCAAATGGACCGCTAGTATAGTCGCTAATTATTTTCTTTCGCCGGCATCGGCGAAATGGTACCTGCTAGAAATTTGTGAATGAGCGAATTTCGACGATACGGAGTAACAGCAGTAGATGTGCGTGGATTACTATATATTATCGATGGGCCATCGAACAACGGGAAACGGGGAACAAAGCGCGAGTCACGTATGAACCGGTGTCATGAATTACCAGTGAAATTGACTATCGAAAGCCGATACGTCACTCGTGAAAAGCTCGAGCAGAAGCTGAACAGTTGACGGCGAAGTTGCGACGGTAAAAAGAAAAGACTATGAAACGACTATGGTCCCACGAACATCGCCAAGCACGTGAATCCGCCGTAATTACGAAATGGCACGAACTGAGTGGCCAAATTACTGCATCTTTTGCAAGCGATCTCGCAATGGTACAGCAGAAGATTTTTTTAAGCAATACTCGTACCTTTGTGTTTTAGCTGGCAGAGAATTTACACGGTGTAAACTGGCCGCGTATCTTTTCGACGCTAAATCCCTGGTTGTTCATCGTTCCCAGCGATCGGACTTGGACGAACTTCTGCTGGCAATGCGGAGGTTTGCTTGATTTATAGAAACTAGTCGACGTTTAGTTCGTAGAAATCAATCGATAGTTCGCAGGTCACGACACCGATGACAAAGAACGTTATATAATTATATTATATAACGAGTTGTTTGAAACTTGTTCAAACAGAGTTACGATCGTCGTCTATCGATAAACACGGCCGTTGAATTCCTCTCGACGTGCTTCTTGCTGTACTTAGCGGTAGAGAAGAGTTTTTCCTTACTCGTTAGAACTTGGTCTCGAAACTCTTTTTTCGATGTGCACGTGTTTCTATTTAGTTAGACCGATGGAAGGATCAAGCAATGTTCGTTGATTTCTTGCTTGTCAGCAAATAACACTGTCAGATGTATCACGTCAACATACGTCAGCGGAAAGTTTGGTTGATCTCGTACCTTCGAGTTTAGTCACGTTTCTCGCCCTCTTCGAGGTCGTGCTTCGCCACGGCCAAATTTCGCATCGACTGCCTTGTTCACGGACGATTGATCGCGTCTCTCTTCGCCCTTCCGAAAGATCAGACACGTTTCGCTCACGAACGAGGGCTCATCGTTCATCGTAAATTACGCGAGAAATGAAATCGTTTCTACAAGCGTTTCGACGCTCGTTAAACTCGTGATTGACGAGAGAACATTTTACGGAACAATTGCTTCAGAGGAATATTTATCGTTTATTTGATCCAAGTCGAATGAGCTACTGGTGGCTCGGGAACACTTGTTTGCGGGTGGAGAATACGACGTCGCGACACCTCGTGTCTTTCGGCGGACGCTGGCCGACTTGTATTTCGCGTGCTCGGTCTGCAACGCCTTTAGGCCGACTGCTCGCGAAAATGCGACTCTAGCTGCGCGCCACGTTCTCCGCGCCTGCGCCACCGTCAATTTCTTCGATATTCGTCTTTACGCGTTTTCGATATCCCGACAGATCACGAACTTTTGATTAATTCATCTTCACTTGGATAAATTGATCTACCAATTCTCTCGAAACGAATTGTCAGCCGTTTCCTTTTTTCATCATTCCAGTTCACGAAGTGAAGCTTCTGAGCTGAATTTTGGAGGCCATGTAACAATGTAAATCGTCGCGATGTAACGACCGTACGTCGGACGTACAATCGGCAGTAAAATGTAACAGTGAAAGCATTAAGACCTTCCGCTTCCGCAGCTCGTTAAGCAGTCCTTGTCCCAGTAACTTTTCGAAAATAGGCCTGTTCATATATCACACACAACTTTGCTCCAATTATTTCACGAGGACGGCCATTTTAATGCGAACTGCTGAAAGAGATGTTGAACTTCGATAAAAAAAAAAGAAACCTACGAAACGTATAGACAAATTTGCATCCTGGTCGAGATAATGGATTACGTAATAGAGGCTTCAAATCGCAAATAGAAACGATTTCAACGATAGAAGAAGTTGGATTGCAAACGTGACATTTTTATTCGTTTCCAGTGTACGGTGTATATATTTCAATTTCGCGGATTTTGCGAGACGTTCCGGCTATGCATATTGATACCGATATATCTTCTTTAAAGTGCAATATTTTGAAATAGGTACATGCGGTATTTCCGCGTGCTTCGCTGCTCCAGAAATATTCTCGCTGAGCTCAAAGGGCAAGGTGCGTTCAACTTTCTCGAACTGTATTAACGTTCCCATGATGGAAAACAAGGTTTCATAAATTGAACGATATAATGTCCAAGGCGAGGTAGCCAGACGAAAGTATACGATCTCCAAGTTTTAATTGTCTACGAACAATAGGTGCGTGCGCATTAATTGATTAAGACACAGTGAGGGACGCGCGATGATTAACGCATTATCGATTCGGACAACGTGCTGTCTAATTCGCAGATCACGTTGTCGCCTTTCGCTTACATTGCAAACTTAATCCGATGACGTTCGCGTGACAGTATGAAAGCAGCTGCACCTGCGGCAAAGTACAGCCCTCTGTGCATACGCGAGCATGTATGGTGAATTGACATGGTAGAACCGCGAAATCACTTGAAACGGACGGGATCTGATGCAGCGCTTACTATACCGTAACGTTGAGTCTGCCTCGGATTGGTTTCTCACCAATGGATATCTGGAATACAGTGGTACGCGAAAGCATTTAAACATTCACTATAGAGAAAGTCTGTTATATACAAAGATTCGAACACTGTATATTGAAACTGTTATAATTTTGTTAAAAAAAAAAAAAAAAAAAAATCGTACAACAATAAACCCGAGCTCGTTTTAAAGCTTGAATTTAAAACTTTCAAAATCATTTTGTTCTAAAATATTTTTACATCACGAAGTGGGTAGGTAATTGAAGATACTTTTCTTTTTCTCGAAAATGCTGTAAATTATCATAATGTGTGAAAGCATTAAAAAAATTTTTTCACAAGTTATAATAGATTTGATGATTGAATCGTTTACAATGATCCCCTATAAATTTATTGCACGATCCTTTTCGTCAATTTATTGAATTTTGAAGACCAGGCGAAAATGAATATATGTATAGACGAAAATGTTACAATTTCTTGAATTTTCGTCATCTAATATTGACAATTAATGATTGTTAATTATAATTTATGACTATTAATTACGACTATTGATAATTATGACATTTATAATATTATATAATTAGTTATAACATTTACAATATTTTCAAGAAAAATATTATAATAAAAATATTATAAAAAAATTATAGATTTTATAATTTTATAATTTTAAGATTATAAAAATTATAAATATTATAATAAAAATATCATTAAAAAAAACTTACGTGATGTAGAAACATTTTAGAATAGAATGAACGATACATTTACACTTTAAAATGTATCCAAATTTATTTATTATTGTACGATTTCTTTTTATAATTTCGACATTTAGTATTTGAATATTAATACGAATTATTGTAAATACTATCAGGTGTACAAATTATTATTGCCCATCGTTTTTCTCAGAGATGGTAAAAAAGAAAGTCACATCATTTTTTTATAAATAGCATGATAATGTATACTTTCTTTGCTGTTGCATTCTTTTTAGAGAAATCGAAATAATTTTTAATTTTTTAAGTGGAGTGCTTTAAATCATATGAAAGTATGCTTTGAGATAAATTCAAAGAATGTACAGTGATCTTTAAGGTTACACTGGATTGTTTCAGAGTATCCTTTATTACTAATTGTAAAATTATATAAGATATTATGGTTACTGTTATTAATTATACATTTGAGTTTGAGTAATAACATTTTTAGTAGTATCTGTTAATTTTTTTTTGGAATATTAACACACATTATTCCACTATTTTCGTTTTTAAAATGTGCCTCTCATTGGCATGTTATAAACAATATTTTTAATATGACATCACAAGTTTTACCACTATTATATTACTTTCTCTTTAATTGAATAAGAAGACACTGTGATTAGATATGAACTACTTGCCTAAAAATAAATAAATACTAATGATACAGATACGAAATGTTTCTTTCAGTTTTGATTATAAATACCAAATTATACAAAGCAAAACATAAATACATATTTCGATAAATGATGATTAGGAATAAATATTTCATACAAATATTTCAACGATAAAAAAATATCACGTACAGTACAACTCCTTTTATCTGAGCCAAATTTCATTCAATACCGGATTAAATGAACTCTTGCTAGTTGAATTTAATCATTTGAATTTGAACTCCTATTATATGAACGAAACATCATTAACTTAGGAGAGAATCCATATACGAGCTCCAATTATGTATATAAATCATTTGTTCCCCGACAGGTTTATAAATGAAGTTCTACTGTAGTCAATTGTCAATTGATAATTTTATTGACAAGAGAATTCAATATTACGGAATCTTTAAAATATTTTTTTCATTATTGATCTCGCATGATCTTGAAACTTACAATAATACACATTACTTTTACATTGAAGTACATTTTTTCGATATAAATAAATTTAGAACATTTAGTAAATTGAAATGATTCCAAAAAGCAATGCAATGAAGGAAATATAAGTAGGAAATATAAATAAAAATAGTATAATTTTGTCTTTTACCATTTCTTTTTTGTTTTCCATTTCGAAGAAAAATATTGAACAAACGCGAACACTTTGTACATATAAAATATTTTGAAGTGACTCCAAAATTTCAAAATAATCGAATAAAGTTCCTAAGTATCTATGTTTTATGCTTCAAATACGTTTATTGCTGTTCACTAGTACGCAGAAAATTACGATTTATGACACGATTAGATCACATGATCATAATATATATAATTACAATAATTGTTTTAAAGAATATGCGTATAATACATTTTGTATATTTTATGATTATTAGTTACTAGTTCTGGTAACTGATTATCATACTTCATCAATGTCAAAATTTCCTGACCGCCTTTAACACTAGAACTACTTTATATATTTATATGTAAAATATTTAAAAATATTTAGATGGTCATTTTGGTAGTTCTAGTGTTGAGCTTTGTTTCACTAATCGTAGCTTGCTATCTTGCCTAGTTGGTATTGCAGTAAATATTTTATGACTTTTACGTACATTTTCACATTCATTTCTGCCAATATAATTATATTATACCGAGGATTTTTATATAATTTCATATTTTCGAAGCGTGAGTATAATCTAAAAATTGAAATTTCTGCAGAGAATTATTTTACATATTGTACTGTACTTTGGAGTTTATTCTTTTATATGATTCGCAGTCTCTGCAACTTTTCATTTGAAAATTTCTTAGAAATGCAAAATAATCCGCAATTTAATAATTATCATAATTCTGCGTGAACGTAATTGCATACAATAGCGAGGCTGTTTAAACATTAATAGAAACCTTTTATGAATATAAATATTTCATGAATGTATATTCTGCGAATCACTTTGAAATTTCATTAGCATTGTAATGCTAATGAAACGGCTATCATGATTACATTGATACAATTTGATATGAATCTGAAAATGTATGAATATACGAGATATTTAAGATATTTGAGATATTTATATTTATTAATATAATAAATAATAATTTAAGTACTTTTTCTGATTCGTTTTTAAAATACATACTTGTATAAATATTTTGTTCTCATATCTCATTATCAGTTTCAAAATGTTTCATATAATACGTATATAAAATATATTTCTACAACGATTATTTTCGTAATCTCTGAAAAACGACTTGAAGATAACGAGCAGGTGAATATATAAAATTGTTCGAAGCACCGAGGGTTCTTCGATTAATCGCGCTGAACTAATCGTTAATGCCTCTAATGAGCGAAGATAATCGACGATCCTAAATCACCGATTATATCAGCTGATTTGTTATTTTCAATCGGTTCCCATCATAATAATCTCTCGTCGATGCAACAAATCGTTACTCGTTACGCGGTAATTGCGCGATCAAATGACGGAGAAATCGAACGAAAACTAACGCGAATTTTGCCTTGGACGATCACTTTAAAAGCCACACAGAATATACAGAGTGATTTTCAAACGCGTGTCCATTTTAGATAGTGAATCTATGCAATAAAGTAACTAAAAAGAATAGCATGTGAATCTACGTATATCGTACATATCTTCAGTTTTCAAATTATAAAATAACTAGAAGAAAATATTCAATGTCTCTACTTGCACATCGCAGTACGCTTAACTCTTTTTTAATGTTTTCAAAAAAATATTTATCGATATCAGTTAAAATATACTCAAATAAATTTTTGTTTTCAAGTTCAATTTAAAATTTATTGTGTCTTCAATTGAGATGAATAATGTTCACGAAACAGCTACAATAGAGGATACGGAATTTGAGATTATTCGAGGAATATTTGACATTTTCGAGAGAATGCGGAATTCAATGCTAAGGAATGCAATAACATTGTATGACACGGACACAGTAAATTATTTTCTTGAATTATCTACGGCTTGGAGAGTGAAATATGTAGATCACAAGTCATAGGACATTTATTTTAATGTATGGAAAATATGGACATAGATTTAAGAATCATCCTATACATAAACTGAATAAGCAGTGAAATGTAGAGATGTTATTGTACTTGTATTAGCATTAGGTTCTGGTTGCTGCAAAGCTGACTATACCAATTAACCGTATCTGTTTGCCCGAATACAAATACGAAACACAGTCCTCCCTGATTTGCATTCGATTCTATCAACAAGCTGGCTATCCAAGCGCGGATCCTCGTGAATTTCCATTTTTCTCGTTCACTCATTTCCAGTTTTCAATTCTCGTTATCGTATTGCTATTTCGAAGAACCGGAAACATTTCATTTACAAAATCACTTGGAAATTGAACTGTCTTGAAATTCATATTTCATAAAATTTGACTTTTGGTTTTGAAACAAAAACTTTTATCCCGAACGTCTTTGGTCATAAAAGTTTCATTGATTTTTTTTGACAAACTTACTGATTGAATATTCGCTATTGGTTCGAGAAGAAAGTTCGGATGACATCTGGATAACATGATTTTGGCTTAAGCCATAAGCATGTCACTTTGGTTTCCGACTGCTTGCCACTGGCTGCAGCTTTCAGCCACATTTCTTCAAGAAATCAGATTACTCTAAAATCCTCCACTTTGCTCGGACAAACTGGCATTTATTCTAAAATTCTTTAAAATCTTTCGTTCGAGGACTTTTTAGTGTTACTCTGTGAACAATTTACTCGTCAAAAATAATGCGATTCCATGAACTTGGTGAAATTGATTCGACACATTTTCCCAAGGGAAAAGTAGAAAATTGAGCTGTGTGAAATTCATAGAGTTGCGTGAAAAGATAGGAAGTGATGGACAAGCGTCGTAGCGTTGATACGCACGACAAATTATTATGCAAGTGCGGGACAGTCGAATTGCGTTGCGATAATCGCGTGAACGACACATTATACGGCCATAATTGACGGGACGTTAATTGCATTACTAATCGTGTGCTTCCGTGCACGAAGCGTCACGTAAAGATCGAACGTGGGTGCAGAAATACTACGGCAGAATTACCTCGTGCGCTAGTTACACATTTTCTGCCTGTGCTCGTTTCTATACATATGTACTACCCTACAAGCTTTTCCAATGAAAAAAAAGAAAAGAAAAAACAAAGTAAAACGGTAGTATCAAACGACGTGAAAATGGGTTCACAAGCACATGTAAAACTCTTTTTTTTTGCGATTAATCTTTCGCCTGAAATATCAATTGCGTTTAACTGGTTTCTAATTTAGCTTCTGTAACAAAAAAAAAAAAAAAGGTTATTTTATATAGAGTTTTTTTCTTTATCATAACAATAGAATTTCTATTTCGCGCGTTGATTACGAATATTTCTTTTAAGCGTGTTGACCAACGAAAATTAATAGTCCATTACTTTCGAGAAGAGGTTTTAACGGTGTAATTAACCAAAAAGTGCAACCGTGAGACACGATCGTAAATTTTCTCGCCATTACTTTAGAAAAAGATTCAATCGCTTTTTGTAATTTAATAAAATGACGTGACTCGAAATAAATCCCGTTTGAGTGATATTAAATCTCGTCGAAGCATTGAACAATGTCGAAGATCGTGTAAATATTGATTTATCTCTATTTCCCCGATCTAATTTCAATTTCGCCCGTCTCTATTTACCTCTGCCATACAAATAAAATATTTCTTTCACGATGCGGGAAGACATTGGTACATTTGAAATAAAATGCTTTTTCAATTTTCTATGTAAACATTTCTTTTTGAAGACTCGCGAAAAGACGAGCTATTGATCTTGATTATAAAGTTTCCTTTCTTAAAGTACAATTCCTGCCTTTATTCTCGCTTTCAATTTCTTCTATTATCACTGAAATATGGCTGAACACAGTTTTTCGTTGTTTCGTCGATTCGCTGTTCCTCCAGATTTCCGCTCGGTTTTCTTGCTGCATTCATGCCAAAAATTCTCGTGGCACATCTGTACCATCAATAGTAAACTATCATCTACAGGAATGTAAACTATTAGCTATCGTGATCGTTTGAAACAACGTACAAGAAATTCGTTTCAGGAGTATTTAATGAAAACACTTTTTGACAAGAGTCAAATGCATGTTAAACTGTTGTCTTCTTTTTTTCATTCAGCGGGAATATAAATTGAATATGCTTTCCAATTGAGCGTTCAACAAGAAATATATTTGATATATTCAGCGTTGTACTTGTCTTTGTTTTATACTTTATGAAAACGGCTTCGCGAAAATATTTCTTTGAAGTACGATGAAATTATATCGACATTGCGTCGTCTAAATTATAAAATCACGCCGTTGTGTGTAACGTGTCAAGTGAAGCAGATCCACGGAAGCGGCTTGTATCTTCATTCCGAAAATATCAACCAGAGAGTCGGGGACAATTTTCCCTTCGTCGGAAGACTACGATTTTACCCTGAAGAAAGTCGATAGCGGTCCTTTAATAACGCGTCTATTGTTAAGGAAATCGGAGTGTCCATTACTCACTGTCGATCGCACGATACACCACGTCGTTCTCTACCTTATCCTCCTCTTCGATATAAAAGCGATCTTGAGCAGATTGACGATGGGTGCTTCGAACGCGATGGAAATGCAGAATGACACCAAGTAGGAGGCAACCAGATTTCCGAAGTAGAGAATCAGCTAGAAAACCATATGAAAATTCAGTTCATTTCCATTCAAAAATTCTACTAATGTTCTATATCTGATATACAAATACAAGAGATTCACACGATAAAAAAGCACAATTATTTCAGTTGCCAATTAAATCATTGTAGATCCGAATTGACTCGTACCTTTTAGGTTGTCTATTGTATCGATTCGAACATAAAACGATTCGATAGGAAAGAGGTGAAAAATATTGTACAGTTTGCGGGAAATTCGGATTGAAAGTAAACGTTTCAATTAGCACTCGTTTTAACCAAAAACTGACACTTTTGACACGTTCGCCCGAGGATGCTTTGTTGATATTGAATTCAGCGAAAGCGTAGACTTACCACAATGTTGTTGTGAAGGTGTAACGAGCCATCCATTTTGTTAATAGTAAGCACCATGATGACAGGATGCACCAAATACGCGCAGTAAGTCAACCTCGACAGCGGATATATCAGTCTGAGCGACAACAGACTGTCGATCATTCTAGCGTACCCGGTGCAGCATTGAATCACGATGAAGGATACACCAATCGCCCAGGCGGTGTGTCCTAAGGCGGCATACGCGGAACTTATCGGCACGGTTAAATTTCCGGGATATAAACCGTAAACTACCGAGAACATTATGGCAGTTGATAACATCCAGCCGATCGTTCGTGCGATCTGTAACAGTCCCGTTTAAACTCGCTAGCTCGATCTTATCTTGATTTAATTATATAATTAGCTGAATTAAGAGTCCTTTGATTTTAATCTTGGAGTGATTACCTGAGAGTTTATTTTTCACCCACCCTTTGGAATCGGATGGCGTGTTTCTTTGAATGAAGCTACTTACCAGAGGCAATTTCAGTTTGCAGTTTGTTTTGAACAGAATGTAACCAGTGATAATGCCGACGAAGTAGGGTCCAGCTCTTAGCCAAGGTTTATCGTACAGTTCGTCGAAAAGTGCAAATGGCTCTTGGATTCTAAGCAGGGGAAAACAAGTGGAAATGAAAATTTGCGCGTAGCTGAGAGATAGGGGCGCAAGTGGAAAATACTTAGTTATTATTACAAAAGTTATCACAAGTAATCGTAATTATTATAATTATCATAAATTAAGTATATATATATATATTAATTATCATATATAATAAATATAAATTATCATAAATTACGTATATTATAATTAGGTATTATAAATTATATAATTATATAATTATTATAAATATCATAAATTATATAATTATTATAAATATTATCATAAATTAAGTATTATATAATACTTATTATAATATATATACAATACTAAATAAAATTATATTATAATATATTATAAATATATATATATATATATATGTATTATAAAATTATAATATAATTAATTAATTAAGAGTAATTATATTACAATTAGTGGATAATCATGTTGCAATTGTTGGCGAAATTAGAAATTCAATTGTAACGAATTGAAAGCTAAATCGAAGTTCCTTCATTTGTAAATCAAATCTAATATTCTAACAATCTACAGGTTATGAAATTTCTCGATCCATTGGTAATCGAAATTATACATTCTAATAACGGATACGTCACGCGACATATGAGAGAAGGAATTTTAATATCAAACAGCAGTAAATCGGAACGCATTTACATACGCGCAGTTAACAAGTTTTTAACTGATGAGTTACCTGGCAACATAATCGTTGGCGTAAGCGACGGAGAAGGTAGTAAACCATGAAGAGACGATCAATAAGAAAATCACAACGATGACGGTCTTCAAATATTTGATCGATAAGAGAAGCAATAGTATACCGAGAACGTAAAACTGTGTATCGTTCGCCATGTACCAGCTCCACAGCATACACTGAAAAAAAAAAGATTGTTAATCAAGTATTCATTCGGATAATTGCATCAAGGTTCAACGAGCTCGGACTAGGTCGTACTATCGGGGAGTACTTGGAAAATCGCCGGAAATCTATAACAGAGGAAAACTCTGTAACTAACGGATGAAACGTCAAACTAGTGGATCACGTCAAGAACCATTGCGCAACCATTCTGATGACGTTTCTATACGTTGTGGATCATTTTTCTCTGCGATTTGATAATATCGATTCGTAATCCGCGCGAAGTGTTACAACGTTCGATAGAACCATTTGATAAAACGCTGCAGGTTTTCGGGACTGTGAGAAAGTGAGCGGTTAGTTACTTAACCAATGATTAACCTGCTCTTTTCGCCGATGAAATTAATTTTGGTGACTGTTAGACACTCTCTGTTGGAACTTTCTCCGAACGATGGAATTAATTATCGGAAAACGATCGAGATGCTGGCATCTTTCCTGTTCCGTAATCTCCGCCGACTCGTACTTCCTCCAGAAAATTTCGTTTTGCGATGCATCCTCCATTCTTTGATTTAATTGTTTTTACGTTCAAAATTGAGCGCTGCGTCAATGTCAACTAACAGTGTCGTTGATTCATTAACGGTTTCTTTTCAAACGACGGACAGACTCTTTTCTTACCATTTCGGTGCGAGGATAAAGCGAGTTGATGTACAGCGCGTTTCTCCACCAGAACTTCTCACACGTCAGATGATCGATGACCACTGGTGAGAACACCGTTCTTGATAACACATACTTGATAGCGATCTCGTTTATTCCCAGGACAAAAAGATACGCCGGTGTCAATCTTGGTAAAGAGAAATCGAAAGGCGTCAGTATGTAAATTTACGCCTAACCGAGATTTAGCAGTCGTTTACTGGAGAAAGTTTCTCTTTATTTTATGCCTAATCAATCATGTATCAAATTCTGTTGTGACATTTTACGGTTACCGAATTAAGTTGTTAAATTTTATAATTTTCGATGGCCTGCTTGTTATTCGAACACGCTGTTTTTATACTTTAAAGTGGCAGAGTAGTATTCTAAGTAGGTTTTCTTACCTGATAAATCTGTAGAGGATCATGATGATAAATTTGGTGAAGCATGTCCTCCAAAAAATGCCTTTATCGTTCTTCAAGCTTCCAGAAGATCGATAAAAGAGAATCGTAACTAACAAGCCGCTAAAACAGACGTATTCGTATGGATTTGATCATCGATTATTATTTGATAACAAGGTTATTGGTTCATCCTTTACCTGATGAAGAAAAATGTGTCTACGGAGAAGGTGGCGTTGCTAATCGTTTGGAACATAAAATTTCGTTCTGTCACCAATCGCAAGGTTTTATTTTCTGCAAAAGACGCGATAGAGAAAGTCATCTCATCTTGGAATTATCAGTGAAAGTTTAACTTAACTGGCTGTATCGAGAAGATTCGATTACGGTGAAACAGGAAACCGCTATACATATTTCGTTCGCAGAAGTATGTCAAAGATAAAAATTCGTATATTAACGCATTTGCACTTTGTGTGTGCTGAAAATTATTACTTCTGCTCGACTCTTTGTGATTATTAATCTTCATTCGTCATTAATTTAATATTCTTCGTAGCAAAATGCCAATTAGAATAATTAATAGTAAAATCAATTAATCAATATAAATCTTACTCATGATCTTGCAAATTACAGTGATCAGAAGATTAATCGGATTCTATTAAGAAATGACATCTCGACGTTCATTTTTATACGAATTTGACAATCTTCGAAGAGAGGATTACTATACCAGCAATGGAAAAGACTTGAAGATAGGTGTGCACCATGACCACCCATCCCAATGAAAACACTCGTAACCCATGTAGACAAGTCAGGCTATCTGTCGCGGCGGGTTCGGTGCTGATAATTTTGCTGCCGTTCGCGATGGGATTAAAGGCTGCCAGACACATTAGCAAGAAGCCTGAAAAGAAATCGATGAAAAGAAGGGAGCTATTAAGAGAGAAAGAATGAAACAGTCGAATGTATATCACCTTTCTTGCTTTCCTTTTCAGAATGATCGGGCAGTTCTTTTTGCAAGTTCTTCTCCTTCTCGATCAGCTCCTCCCCGTTCTCTTGGATCGCTTCCCGATCTTGGTTCAGATTTTTGTTGGGAAAATTGTTGAGCCTCTCGTTGTTATTCGACACGCTGGATGATTCCACGTCGTTAACATTTGATTGTATTCTGTACTCGTAGATGGTCGCGCCGAGCATCAGGATTAGTATTGCACCTCCGACTCCTCTGAAATACATGATGTACAAAAGCAAGATGAATCAAAGAAATATATTTTCAAGAAACGATTCGAGAGAAACTTGATTGCTTCCGCGATGATCATTTTAATTGGGTTATACTTATTTTCACTGGACATACATTTATTTTAACTGTATGGCTGGAAGTAGAGTCGAGCATTAAAACTCGAGTATTAAAGATGCGATGAAACATAAAATTAATAGCAGCAAAACCGCTAAATCATGAAGGGATACAGGAGACTTTCCAGGGCGTATTCTTTTTCCGCCTTCTATTTTTCCACAACGTTTCACTACTTGCTTTAAAGCGCGATCAACCGATTCTGATAGCTCCGTGAACAGTTGCTTTCATTATTCCGCAACAATAATTCAGACTAGAAGGGATAAGTAATTGGATTTGCTAAAAAGTAATTGAGCCTTTTCCTAATAGATGCATATCTAGACATAAAGGGTGTCCCAGTTTTTTCCGGCATAACTTTGCCAGCGTGTTCTACAAGCAAAAGTAAGAAAAGAATGTTAGATGAACATATGCTCTTAAATATGTTTTATTAAAGAGTCATAACTAATAACAAAAAATCGTAATGAACTGACGTTTCGTCGACACAGCGTATGAACGTATCATCAGTGTTACAGAAACTCACATAACTAAATCCAACAAAACTAAGTAAAATAACAGTAGACCTTCTTAATGTAATAACATTTCAAAATGATAATGACGTCCGTTATTACGAATACAGGATTGGCATCTAACAAAAATAGACTCTATCGCATTATTAATGTCTTCTTCATTTTCTCTAATCGCAGCAAATGCGTCATTAATCCTCTGTACTAACTACTCACGAGCGTTAATTTGTGCTTCATAAACTTTTGCTTTCACAACTCCCCTACACGTAAAAACTTATTAGCGTGATAATTGGTGATCTTGGAGGCCATGAGATTGGTCGTTCTCGTTCTATCCATCGTTGTGGATAATGGTCATTTATTCATTGCCGTACTGGTACTGCGTAATGTACTAGGCAACCGTCTAATTGAATCCGTAAGTTTTGTCGAAGTTATAATGGAATATCTCCTGCTACTTCTGTCTCAAATTCGTTTTCTAAGAAATTCAAAAAAGACTGTATCGTTAAGTGAGGCACCAAACATTATTAGCTGAGCAGAAATCAATGACGATATCAACTACTTCAGCAAGAAAAGAATTTATGTAAATAGATATTCATAATACGTTCCTACGTTGTGTCGATGAAATGCCAGTTCATTGTCATTTTGTATTATTAGTTATAACTCCTTAATAAAACATTTAAGAGCATATGTTCATCTAACATTCTTTTCTTACTTTTGCTTGTAGAACACGCTGGCAAAGTTATGCCGGGAAAAACTGGGACACCTTGTATATGTATATTTTAAAATGTGACTAACTTCGTTTTAAAAATGAAATCAAATTCATCTGATGCCTGATTGTACAAACTTGTTTTAGAAAAAGAAAAATACACGATCTTATTAACAATTGTTTGTTTGGCGTCGATTTCAAAATAGAAAGTTTAAAAAAGACATTTTTGTCATATTTTGCTTTACTTCCGAAAACGCTGTGCAAGCTGAAAAAATTATATAGTGAAGAAGCAAACTACTACGACAGTATTAGAATTGTACTGATGAGGATATCGAATTGTTTTTGAAACGTTTCTTTGTCGAGGAAGGTAAGAATCTTTTTGAATGCGAAATCATGAAGTTGCCTGAAAGATCATAAAAGATAATCGAATAAAATTGTCAATATAATAATAATAATTAATAATTAATAACAATATATTAATAATAACATTTTCACCTTTCGTTTGCAAAAAAATTACAAATTAAAATTATAAATTAAATAAGTTACAAATGGCATTGTTAAAATGATGCTTTCCTCTCTTGATTATAAACATATTACGTATTGTGATTAATAAAAGCATCTATGGTCGCGTAGTATATCGAATTTTAATGATATCAGCAAATTAATTTAAGATATGAAGTAAACTAATCCTTGAAATGAGCTTGTCCGAACGTAAACACCTGCGAGTAGAATTAATGCCTCTATAAATTAATTATGCTACGTCTATTCTGGAAAGCGATGTTATCAGACATCATTAATATTATCCTATCTTAATACACTGTTAATAGTATACTGTGAAATGGATCTGACCTAAGTTTCCGCATATTTTTGGGAAATATGTCAAATACGAATTCACCTGTTGCAATGAAATTTTTGTTCCATTAAACAAAATCTTTTATTAAAATGAAATGATGAAAACTAATAATGCTTTTTAGTGCGATAGTTATGAAAACATTTTCTTTTATGGAAAAATATTAAGCAAAATTTACAAATATATATAGTGTTTCTCTCTTTCTTACGTCATTTAAAAATCGCTATCATTATCAAAACTATTACCATTTTTACTATCATTACATCTGTGAAAATATTCTTTAGATTGAGGCTATATTTTTGACTAATTGCTCAAAACTGAATTGAGAGTCTATAAAGCAAACATAAAATCATATAAATTTAATAATTATTCACGCAATAATGGTTTAGCGCATAAAAGACATGAATTGCTGTCCTCCGTCCTGTACGTTTGAAAAATGCAAGATGCCGACGACGTCTCCCGTTTAAAAAATAAAAAAACGTCTCCCGTCTTCAGCGTTTAAAAAATAAAAGACGCGGATTCACGTCTCTCATGAATGTCTTTAGTCTTATTCCTTTAGTCTTTATTTCTTCTATTGTTTTGTTATGATCTTATAATCTTATATTACTTTATAATCTTTAACTTTATAATCTTATATATTTTTTCTAATTTTCCTCTAAATCAATAGTTAATCAGTCCACTAATAAATTAATATACGTAACGTAATAATTTGAGAGAGAAAGAGAGAAAACCAGATCTCTCAAAGAATTTTTATGGACAGTGTAATAAATATTTCTAAGCGCCAATAAATAAATAAAGTGTGCTCGCGCAGACAAAAGAAAAACCAATACTGTTAGAAGATTTATGACAACGTACACTCTAGATCTCCAGAATCTTCATCTATCTACGGAATCATTATCTGTCAACGCTGACTTTACGTCGGTCATAAAGTTTGGATTAAAGGATTTTACGATTCAATCGTTACAACCGGAAATTTAACGTTCCAAAGTTTATGTCTCAGCTCTTAGAATACACAGTAAAACAATGATTGTCAGAATGATTGATTTTGATGATCGATCGAAACATTGAAGGGGAATTTGAGAAATAAGGAACGAGAATAGAAGCAAAAAGAACTTGGTACGTTTTTAATCGAAAGTTTTCATGCCCGTTTAATGTTTAGTATCTAGAAAGCATTTTCGCGCGAAAACAAAGTTACTCGATCGTTGAACAGCGCGTGACATAATTAACTTGGATAATTAAAGGTTCACTGTACCAAATAAAATTACGCTGCAGCAATCAAGTTCATCGTACAATATCGACATAATGACGTTACTTCCTTATTGAACCTCTTTAATCGTCATGCAACGATGCTTCGCGGAAGGCATTCTTCCGATTAAGCGTTCCTTCTTTCAAGGGAAAGCGGACAATAAATAATGCTCGTCTTTCTCTTTCCCATTTTTTCCAGTTAACCCGGCAAGCCACGGAGGGATAAAGAAATCGATATCCGAGAGATTGACTTGTGGAAGAGCGCGAAGTTTGCCACAACCGAGTAATCGTAAGTAAAATATTTATTTTAGTAAAATTCGATGAAGAAAGAATTTCTTTTGTGATGCGAAAAGTTATTTCACTTGGCACCAAACGACCAACAAAAAGTTCGCCGTTTTGTTACGTTAATAGGCTTTCAGATGTGAATCAGGACGGAGAATAAAATAATAGGGCGAGTTTTTCCTTCGATTTTGACGCAAACTTTCTTACTGGCATTTTACTTTATCATGGAACGACTGGAAAGCGACAGTATAAAATTTTTCAGATTTAAATTGCACAGCGGCTCGTTTGTATTTCTTCTACCTGTTTATTAAGTTGTAGCTTTCTCGAATCAGCTCACGCGGTTGGTGAAAATTTTTCGAGAAGAAAGAAAGATGATTAGAATTATCGAAGGAAGTTTATGGCCAAAACGTTCTCGTATCAGAGAAGCATCGTCCAAGAGTCCAACTTCCAGTTAACGCGTTGCTCGCAGAGAATTGCTTTCAGGTCGAAGATTATATTTAGCAACCTTTCAGAATCTTTGTCCGGACCTCTTGGGGACGTAAGTGTAACGCGCCGTGGCAAATTTTCAATTTATCCAGGAATTGCACCGAGCACAACGTCTCTATCCCTCGAGAAAAGTGGCTACGCCGAGTCGAATCGAAGATCCAATATGACATTCGGAACAAGCATATCTTCTTAACAATATAATTCTTGAAAATTTCTAGCAGAGATAAACCCAATTTGGCTTCATTTCCCCATAATTTCCTATGTTGTATGATTGTTATATTGTTTGTATTCAAAGAACAAAATTTCATCCTATGTGACTTTCTATTTATAAAATTTCCTCTCACGATTAATACTAGGCAGAGATAAAAAGTTTCACGAAACAGCAGAGGAACAATGAATCGCTCGCTTGTCAAATCGATTAACTCTATTTTCTGAATTTTTTTAAATTTTAGTGTCAAAAGCAGCTGGCTGATTCTTAACTTTTTATGTTCAAAGTAAATTTCCTTAATGATTAGATAATTAATATCACTGGTCACAAATGACCATGTTTTTTTTTCTTGGGCTGTGAATAATAAATAATTTACTTCAGATGACGATTTAATTAACTTCATGCTTTGATGAAAATCGTTGCAATAATTCAGTTCAAACGTTTTAATTAGTTGAGTAATTAGTTTTTTAATGTAATAGTGTATATTAAATAATAATGGCAAACTGTTGCCTTGTCATAGAGAAATGAAATTTCAAACAAAGTATGGCATCCCACTTCTTAATATAATTTAGCAAAAATGCATTGGATAAAATTAGAAAGATCGAAACTGTACGTCATACAATTCAAGTATAATTTTAAC